ACGAAAAAGTGGAATCGCCCCTAACATTGCAGACTTTGCAAGGATTTGAGCTTGAGTGCTTAACGTGATGACTCACAGTTGGTGCGTAGTTCAGCCATAGGCAGGTGAATCAATTTTACTAACCTAATTGCTCGACCTCCTCAAGCCCCATGAGACGGACGAATCGTGTTAAAAGTACTATACAGCTTTGCAACTGGACATCCGAGATTCTATTAACAGTAATGATGTGGCCAGAGACATCGTGTTGAAAACAAAGCAAGTGCAAGAACACTGCCATCATACGCGATAGAGCGAGGTACATGACAGTTCCTACACAATTCGCCACCCTCTTTTTCCTCCTCAAGCCCAATGAGACGGATGAATTGTGTTTAAACTTCAAAGTACTATACAGCTTCGCAAGTGGACCTCCGAGACTCTACTTACATCAACGATGTGGCCGGAAACATGGTGTTGAAAACAAGGCACGTGCAAGAACGCCGACACCATATGTGATCCAGCGAGGAACATGGCAGTTCTGACACAACTCGTCAACACTGAAGCACCATCTATACATCTGCAACCCACGGAAACTCTATCACTGTTGTGAAACCTAATATCCGTGCAAGGTAGAGTTGGGATATGCACACATGCAATTCGCTGGCACCAACATTTAAGCTTTGCTAAGTGCTCCCCCCTCCCTGGGGAAAACAAAACAAGATCAGGTCTTTCGACTCATTTTGAGTTGTCAGTGTTACCCTGGCAGGTGCCTCCCCAGGCGAATTGCCTGGATGCTCTACTGGGCGTCCCATGAAACCTTTAGATTATTTCAGAATTTTCGTCGTTCGGCAGGGTTGCATCCCTGCCGACCGCCGACCCCGACCGCCGACCCCGACCGCCGACCCCGACCGCCGACCATATTGCAGCCAACCAGTAGGGCCGACTGGTCGACGGTCTGCAGCCAACCAGTAGGGCCGACTGGTCGACGGTCTGCCGACCAGTCAGAAAACAACCATCCACTGATTTTTTGTCAAATCTGAGTTGCGGGCTGTACTGCGCTTGCTGAGTACAGCCCAAATCTGCTGAGAAACTTTTGGGGATGGGGGGGTAATGGGGGGATTGGGGTTGGAGTATAGGGGGGTATAGGGTATAGGGGTGATATAGGAGGTATTGGGGGGCGTAATGAGCGTGTTGGGGG